CGTGAGGCTGCAGTGACACCTGGTGGCTCAGAGAAGGATGACAGTGTGAGTGGTTGTGATAGCATGTCTAGAAAATGTCTAGGGTTTTCTTCTCTATTCAAAGAAACACTAGTTTTGATCCACCTGATCCAGGTCCAGACTTTACAGGGACGGTACAGACAGAATTCTGAGATTAAAGTCATTATTATGAGGAAACATTTATCAGTGGCCTAATCCTATTCCATAGATATTGATGCTATTTCATGAAGTATTAAATCCTTTATTTATTACAACCATAATGTCTACTTCACCCACTTTGAAGCAAAAGAGCATTTAAGTGCAAAACATATTTTGAAATAAAACTCAAAATACAAACTTCCTCGTAAAAAATGTTTTATTGTTTGACAAATGTAATGGTTTTCTTGCATTTTTCCCCATATCCAGTCTGAATCCAGACCTTTGCTGGGATCAAGATAGATAGATAGATAGATAGATAGAGAGAGAGAGAGAGAAAGAGAGTGAGAGAGTGATTCTGAGCTCAAAGTTATCTCAACCTTTCTTGAAAGTTTTAAACACATATTGTTTTATTCAGATAAAAAAAAAGGATTGGATGACCTTATCTTATCCATTCATGTAAACCTTTTTTATTTTTTTGAACAACCTGATTTCAAGATTTGATTCTATCCAAAAGCTTTAATCCTGTTGGACTACTTTTAAACAACTGAGCCCAGATAATTACATTTAGGAAAAATACTTCCCACTAAAAGAGGTTCCAAGTAGGGCTGGGCGATGTATCAAGTTTTCAAGATGTATCGATATATTTAAACAGGATATATGCTAAGACAATACTGTTTCTATTGATATAGTTTATGTTGTATTAAAATCTTGTTAAACGTGCCTTCTGTAGAGCTAGCAATTCACCATTCAGTTTATATTCATCTCATTTTTCAGGTCCGTGTTGACATTGTGAAGCCGACTGTTAACTTACTTTGATTTTTTATTTCTATATTGAAAAAAATATCGATAAATACATCGAGTATCACCAATCATATATCGAGATATGAGATTTGGTCCATATCACCCAGCCCTAGTACTGAGTCTGAGGATATTATTCTGAATTGCTGTTATTGACATTCCACTAAACGTAATCAAAATGACTTTCACTGAAGATTATTTTTTACTGCTTTTTAACTTGACATAAACATCTGATTCATGTTTGTGACGCACAGTGTGAGCCTGAGGATGAACCTCGTGTGAGTCCTTCCACTCGGGACGCTGAGCTCCGTCTGACCAGGGACACCTCTGACCCGTTCGGACCTGATGGTTGCTTGGATTACGTGTCGGACTCACAGCTGAACACCATTTCACTGACGTAAGGAAGTAGATTTAATGTCACGTGTGAGAAGGGAAGGTCATAATGATAATAATACTACGTTTCATTTGTTTATAACTTTAAAAACAGAGTGACAATGTGCTTATTAACAACAGAATAAAATGGAAATAAGATAAAAGCATTCAGAAAGGAGCATTGTATTACAAATAAACTCAAAGGAAATATATGACGAGAAGTTATTATAATTAAACATTAGGATTATTTCACTTACACAACCAAGAATCAAGTTTAGGGAAATTAAAGTCTTCACAACAAGCTCAGGATTTAGCTCCGGGGAGGCTTAAGAAACACGATGGTGCTCTCTACCATCTAAACAGAAAACTCAAATGATTTAAAGGTTCAATGAAGTCAAAACAAAAGAAGGATTCGCTTAAAGTTTCTTTTTCTGGCTCCATCTAACTTTTCAACCCTCAAATCCAGTGAAGAAGAGTTGACGGAGAGGGAGGATGCTCTTGCTTTCCCAGACTTCCAAGAGGACGCCTCAGACCTGATCTGTGGGCTCATCAGAGAACTCTCCTCTCTGAAGTAAGTGAACAGGTCTCCTCTTTCTTATTCAGTGTTTTTTCTTTACCAGGTCTACCATTCTCTGTACACCAATCCTGACCCGCCCTCTTTCCAGAGTTGAACTTTTGACTTCTAATATAATTGGTCAGCTGTTTTTTCTTCGCATCCGCCCCTGTGCTCTAATTGGCTAGAGAAATGTCAGCAGCAGACAGTCTGGCACCTTTAGCCAGGGCCACCTGAGGGACACTGCAGCCAATCTGCTGAAGCCCTGATGGTTTCATTAGACATGAAGGGAGCAATAAAAGATGACTCAGTCAACAAATCTCAAATGGATGCAGAGGTAGAGGCAATACACAGTTAAAACAAGAAACATGTTTTGTCTGTATCAGCTTAACTGTAATAATAGGATGATCTACTCTAAAAAGTAACAAAAGAAAAAGACAATTACAAATGTCATTCTTTATGAACTCTTTAAAATTTGGAAATGTGAGTTTGAGAGAAAGATACTTTTTTTTTTCACTGCAACAAAATTTAAGTCCTCATTGTTGCCTAATATTGGATTATTTCTTGTTTTTATTTACATAAAAGCTAGAAAAGTGTTGAGGCTTTCACACGTGCAGAAAACTCCTGCAAAGCTGCTGAGATTTGCAGGAGGAACTCCACGTGTGAACGCAAGCAGCAAACATTTTTCACTTGGGGTGCATCCGAATTGTCCCTCCTATCTCCTTTCACTATCCACTTTACCTTAACCCCGTGAAAACGTCATGAGGTCAAGGAAAGATGTTAGGAGAATTCATAAAGGACTTAGGGAAAGGTGATTTCGTTGCTCTGACAATCCGACCGCATTTTCCACTAGGCGACGTCATTAAATGCGACGGGCCAGCGGAGGTTAATGACGTGGGTCTGCCGTGTTGAAACTACAAAGTTCCGAAAATGGACTACAAAAAACGCATCTAAAAAACTCTTTCTGTGCCTTCTTACCGGTGAAATAATACTAATTACCACAAGGTTGGGATTGAAATAAAATAAATATAGACTACCAGGCTACAAGTAACAAAAGTGAAACCATCACCTTCCTGTCCAATCAGAAATCAACATCAACATAAATGTGAAATTAATTGTTACATGTATGCAAGACAAGAATGTACAACTGAAGAAATGCACAAAACATTCTGAATTGAATGAAATATGTTGAATAAAACATCATCTGATAAAAATGTCTCTTATCTTTTTATCTCTTTCATGATCTGCGTCACTTTACGATCATCGTTAATGTTCGTGAACGGTCGGATTCACGACTCGCTTTAAATGTTGCGGCCGCAAGGAATTGTGGGGCGTCAAATCTCATCTCCTTTGGTAAAGGATGGTCCAGTGTATCCTATGCTAAAGGAGGTTATAAAGGAAGCATTGACCCACCTTTCCTTAACTTTTAGAGAATTCGAACGGCTCTCATCATGGCCGCTACTTAACTGCTTCCGGGGTTAAGGTAAAGTGGATAGTGAAAGGAGATAGGAGGGACAATTCGGATGCACCCTTGGTCTTTATGGGGAGTTTCTCCTGGCGAGCCCCCTGGAGTTATACCACATCAAGTCTCAGTGAGTTGATGTGAGAACGCAGCAGGATATAATCTGGAGATTTCACCTCAAGCCAATAGGTGAGGGAAGTGACGTTTATATCCTGTGACCAGTGCGCAGGCTGTCTGCACACGACCACTACCATCTCCATGCACGTGATTAAACGGCTGCATAACGTTTCTGTTTGTTCTTCTCCAATCTTTTGTTGACATTGTGATTCCGTTGAACTACGCAGAGCATTGATTTAAAGGCAGGTATTTCCGTTGTAGCATCGTATAGCTGACTCGGTTGCTCGGTGTCGGTTACTTCACGTCACGTCTTAACCTCAGGAGAACCCCCACCACCACTCCTGTCTGACAGGGATAGTCTCCTGCTGTGAGGAGTATATGTGAACAGCCAGGTCATTATTATCTAGATAGTGTCAGGAGTGCATGTGAAAACAGGAGACATAAACAACTTGAACACATAAAAGACTTGAAAAATGTCACTATTGAATGGACTGTCTTTCACTGGCAGCAGCTTTTGGTTAAAAATATGACTGGAGTTCTGTAGATTTTATCAAAGCTTCTGTACTTCAGATACTATCTATTATTAGATTATGGAGATTGTTCAAGCGGCAGCCTCCAATGTTGAAAAATTAAGCGAATGAACTAAAGTTCCTTGAGGGCACGGTCACACTGGCTATCTGTCCCGTGCGAAGCACACCTCTCCATGTGCCAAAGCCGAGGAAGTGTACCGGGCCTGAGCACGGCACAGAGCGGTCACACTGGCTAAACTAAACTGGACTTTAGGGTGGAGGCGTCTTGGGCATGGTACGGATTGCCAGTGTGACCGCACCCTGAGTGTCCGCTTCAGGCTGGCTCCAAAAGACAAGTAAGTTCATACACACCCAAAAATTTGTTTGGGACTGCAATTACAATACCGCGACCACCAACGTCAGGCTTCAAAATTCAGCTTCAGAAACCGCTGGGTGACATCACTAAGACTACCTCCACGTTTTAGACAAGCTATGAGAGATTGCTTTAAAACACATGGTATACGTTGACTCACCCATAAGCATCTTTTTATCCTTTTACATCTTCAACCTGGCATTGTCCACCCTACTCTTGCTTTAACGTGATTGTCGCTTTTGTTTTCTCTAGTCGAAAGGTGATGGCCACTCACAGAGAGCTGGAGAGCTTTCGCCGCTGCACTAAGAGTTGAAGGAGCTCCACACATTGAGGGATTGGTTCAGCTCCATGCAACAATGACCCTCCTGTTGCCCCAATTGTGGGCAGTACATTTATGTGCCATTGTAAAAAACATTTATTTTTGGATCTATTTTCATACTTCTTTTGCACTGACAGCTGGCATGTTCTTTTTAAAAAAGGTATAGTTGTTGTAGTTCCTCTGAAATAAAGCCAGGTGTTATTTAGTGTTAGTCAGTGATCTGAGTGTTATTCCACAATAATAAGAAAAACGTCATCAACAAGAACTCCAGAGGTTAACCTGCTCAACATGGCTGCCTTAATAAAGACAGAGGATGTAAAATAATGACAATAGTATACAGATATTTTTGTCTATGTGGACATTTATAATTTCTGAAAAACAAGAAAATTCACACATTTTTTTACAAAGTCATACTCTCTTAATTGGCATTTAGAAGTGCCACATGCACAATATTCAAAATAAAATAACATGCCTCAAGAACAGGTATTCACACAAAGGAACAAGAACAATCACTCATTATTTAAAAAGGTAAATGCTGACATGGTCATATAAAGGGACGTGCTGTATTATTACTGACTGTCTAATAGAGGGTTGATTGTGTTAAATATCCTTCAATGCATGGACAGGAGTTATGAAACTGGACATCAGACGACCACGTGTTAAAAATATATTTAAAACAAACATACATCAATCTTTAGATTTTTTTTTTCTCCTCCCCAACATTATATCTGGCAGTCGTTCTTTTAGTTAAGTACAGATCCAGACAGCACACGGACGCTGTGAGAGAAGGCCAGGCCGACAAACAGACCAGCTGGTAGATGACTCCAATCAGCGCAGTACAAGGCTACGCACAGCAAACGTACCAAAGCATGCAAATGAAAATCAAACCAAAACAAAGCACACCGACGGATTCATCCAACAGTGTCTGATTGCAACCTGCCACCTGCTGGTTCAGCGTCTGGACTTGGCGTACACGGAGCTGTACGCGCTGTCCACCTTCGGACAGAAGCGCTTGGTGTGAGCTCTGGCTCCAGTGGCTCCGCACAGTGGACACACATACTGCCGCAGGTAGGGACACAACACTTCTCCAGCCTGGTCTTTCAGCCAGTGCGACCCGTACACCAGCTCGGACTCCCCGTTGTGCTTGCAGAAGCTGCAAACCATGCGTTCAGGTGAGGGAGGTAGCGCCGGTGGATCCGGTGTTTTGAAACGAGCTGGCTTTTTGCGGTCTTTTGGCCCCCGGCAAAAGGACCCCGTCTCTCTTGGCACAAGCTGCAAAGCCAACGCATCTGGCGCATTCGCGCGAAAGGAGTCTGGGGAGTACCACAACCCCTCAGGTGAACGCTTGTGAGCCGGGGAGCCTGTTACTGAAGGTATAGCGTGGAGATATGGTGCAGGGTCTGCGCAAAGGACCCTACTTTGGCTAACTGCGTCCATGCGCAAAGACAGCAGGGCATCGCACAGACCATCAGTTTCAGACAACGGGGCTATCGGGGTTGGTAGCGTGGGCTCGGAGGCGCTGTTGCGTCCAAGGATCTCTTTCATTGTGTCCGCCAGTCCTATGTAGTCCCTCCAAGGCTGGAAACTTTTGTTGTCCGACTCCATAAAGCACTCCAAGTCACGAAAAAGTCCCAAAACCATGCCGTTCATTCTAGATTATTCTCAGATTAATATTTTGTCTTGCCTACCACACTTTCCCTTCACTGAGACGATTCTGTGTTTGGTTTTCTAAAAAACCACGCAAAGAACAGCAAAATCACGGTGTCAGTATCTGTGACGCCGTTTTGATTGGTAATTGAGAACAAGTCGTGATCAAAGGTACCCGCCTCAGGGTGCCAGTGGCCAATCACATCACGGCATACACCACCGTGTAAGTCACTGCTACTCTACTCCCTTATTCAAATTTTCATTTAGGCTATGAACTCCATAAAGTCACACAGATCACGTGGCTTTAAGAGCGCAACCATCACACTAGGCGATCGTACCGTCTTTAAGTCCAGTTCGTTTGACTATCGTGAGTGCTTCTGTTCACTTTCTTGGCCCTGGCACTGTTGGAAAAGGTGTGCTTCGTGACGGTGCCGTTCATGCAAGAACACCAGCACGGACAACAAATCTCCATTATCGAGATATCACAGTGTGATGGCTGTATATCTGACTAAAATGACTCAAAATAAGCCTTAAAGTCAGTAAAGAAGCCCGCCTGTCTTGTAAACTAAGCATACTCCATAATCACATTAAGACATGTATGTTTTTGCGATGTTACGTAGACTTCAAGAAGTGACCGTGGAGCAGTGTGAGTGCAGGCCATAGACTCTTAAAGTTCTGACTTTTTTTCAGTGGCCCTTCTATAAATATCAAAGACAGCTGGTTGGAGATGAGAGATAAAGAACATTGTTGCATCTGACATACAGAGAGCTATGCTATAATGCTCATCGGTTTTTTGTCGTTTTTTTCTCCAGATGTCACAGGAGAGGAGGAGAGGATTGTAACAGTCTCAATTCTACAGTGTCAGAGCTGGCCCATGCACCCCCATGTACCTGTGCCTGCCCCAGTGGCGATTCTGGAGTCTACTGGGGTCCCAGGTAGTGGCGGTTCTAGACCACTTTTACTGAGGGGGCCAAACTGGGGCCAGTTGTTTTGTCAGAGGGAAACATTAAACCCAGGTGAAAAATAGACAAAGATGATTGCTTTAATAAAATATATATATATAATGCCAAATAATAGCACACATCATTTAATACCACAACATTAAATAGCATGATTTATGTTTGTTTCAGTAACAGTATTTAATACTAGATTGAGTCCGGTTGTTGAGTCAAATACTAGGGGGGTTCTTCCTTTCGGAGGAGTGGCCACAGAGGGGACCAAGCTCAGTGTTACAGGGGCACTGGCCCCTGTTGGCCCCTGCCTAGAGCCACCCATGGTCCCAGGCAAGAAATAATTGGGGGCACTACAACCAACATTTATCGCCATTATATCATGCCATCGCCCCAACGCCTACTGCTCTTCCTCTTTTTTCCTTTTTCTGATTTGGTTCCTAGATTATTTATTTATTTTTATTGACTTCCATTGACAAACTTTGGTTTTCACAGCAATAATGCCCCAGACCCTCTACTGGTCTGGGGCCCCAAGCCGCTGCCTGCTTTGCCTGTTGACAAGTAGTGCCTCTGGCCTGCCCCGCTGCATAATATGTCCTCTTCTAAGAAAGATTCATGGAAACTTCCTTGTAAGAATAAACCCAGCTGAAGTGAAGCAGGGCAGTTCAGGCTTTAGCAGTTTACTAAATACGGTTTATGTGACAGTAAAAAAAAAAGGATGAAATAGTAATGAGGAAAATCAAATGCCCTAGTTTGAAAATATTGTTGCCTTAGAACTGTAACCTGATGTAAAAGTGAAATATTGTGCATTTCTAATGCAGATTTCATCATGTATATAATTTGAATAGAAATAAAACATTTTGTTTAAATAAAGGAGTCAAATGTCATCAAGCAGCCAAGTAGACCTTTTCCATCTATAAGACCTATTCAGAAGTAACTCCACATTTTATGCTATCATTTTGCTTTGCTGATGGATGCTCTAATAACCAAAGGGCTAAGACGAGTATCCCATCAGTTTAAATCCAGTGGTCGGTCTCTGTCCTTTCCTTCTCCTCTCTGGTCCTTCATTCCCGTCTGCCTCTGTGGGTGAACAAATACAAACATTGAGTATGCTACTGGTTTGAAAAGAAAAAGTTTATAGCACAAATTTAAAACGCTTTAAGCAAAAAAAAAGTGAGTGTAGTCGGAACTGTTGAACATTTTCTTGGGTACTATTTGGGAACTTTTTTCTGATTAACTTTTGTGTTGTTGATTTTGGTGACCCCTGTGGACAGAGCAGGACGGTTCAACTCTTCGCTCATCTTGTCCTGTACATCTTCAAAGTCGTGTTTTGTGACTAAAATAAAACATTCTTCTTGGTTTTAAATGTCTCATATGCAACTCAATCAGAGGTGCAAGGTAGATAACAGCTTGGGGCCCCAGACCAGTAGGGGGTCCCTAAGGGCTCACAAACTTTAAACCACAGCAGTTGCCCAAAATGTGCAAATATAGCAATGATAGTAAGAAACCTCCCTAAGGGTGCCCCATCTGACAGCCCTCACTCTCATTGCATTACTGTGAAAACCAAAGTTTGTCAATGAAAGTCAACCAAAAGAATTAGAGGAATTATCTAGGAGCTAAATCAGTAACAGGAAAAAAGAGGAAGAGGAGTAAGCATCGGTTGTAGTGCCCCCAATTATTTCTTGCCTGGGACCCCCGTAGACTGGACAATCTCCATTGCTCACAATCATTCCTTGGTGTGGAATTACTTTGAAATAAAAGGCTTTTTCTGAAGTGTACTGTTTATCGCCTCGTCTCTTACCTAACCCAACGCCAGTACACAGAACAGTCATAACCAGCCACAATAAGGACATGTTGTCATTGAGCAGGCTTCAGCAGCCCAGACACATTTTCATTGTTTTTAACACAACTGTGGTAAAAAAAAACAAAAAACATATAGGGCAAAAATAAAATCTTTATTTATATTTAAGATAAAGGTAAAGTATGTTTTTAATTCAAAGTTATTTTCCAGATCAGCTAAAATGACCAGTCCAAGTGTGGAGCCTGTGTTGTGTGAAACATCCCGTCTGCTCTGCCGTCCCATATGTCAGACTGCTGATCAACCTCTGTGGATCTATGGGAGAAGAAAGGAATGAGAAATGGCAAGTAAAGTAGTGATAAAGGGGGCGTTAATATCACTTAAGTGCAAGCTTGACACATGAACATTTAACTGTTTCATCTGGACCAAGCAGGTTAAGAACAACACACCACTTGGTTCATTTGATGTCTTTTGTGTATGCTGCTAATGATGTCAAAGCAGACCTGACTAACCTGCAGTTGTATGACAGATTGAGGGCAGAGTAGAGCTCAGGAGTGCTGGGAGTCTGAACTCTGACAGCTCCCTGGTTTAATCCAGAAAAAGCAGCGGCCCCAGACTGGCTTGAGGAAGGAGTAATTGGAAGACAGCCAGATACGCTGTTGGGCCCCAAACCTGAGAAATCTGCTGTGATGTACAGAATTTAAGCTTAACTTCTGTTATCTAGTTATTTCATGGAAGGAAAACATCATCCGTTTCACATCTAAATGTCACTGCATACTAACCTAGAGAAGAGCAGTCTCTCCTGTTGCTGTGTGCTCGTTTATTTAAAACAGGCGAGTCACACAGGTACTGCTGCTTCAGGAGAGAGGCCTTCTGATGCTCGAAATCTCGCCGCTGGAGAAACATTACATGACATTAAAAGGAGTAACAAGCAGCATTTTAAGCGTGTATGAAGAAACTACTGTCAATTGCAGATCTGATATTTGGAAAAGGTGCATTTTGACACCCCAGCTGTGTCTTATTCATCTTCTTTATAAGGGTATTATCTGTGATGCTTTTTATGTGGTGCTACTTTGTACATCATGTGATACAATTCTGGAAGAAAATAAACAACAAACAATTACTCCATCTTACTTTAGGAACAATACCAGTCTCGTTTCTCCTTACCTCATGGCTAAGTCGGATGGCAGCATCAGTGAAGGACTGCCGCTCCCTCTCAAAAGTCTTCCTCTGATGATTGAGCTCCGCCCAGTGCATCTGAAGACGCTCCCACTCTTCCAAATAGTAGGAATCATCCAGTTCAGCGGGAACTGGTGAAGCAAGGCTGTCCTGAAGACAAAAACAAAGATTTCAGTTTCTAAGTCTGAGCAAAAGTTCCCACTGGAAAGTGTACGATGTGTCCGTGCATGATAAAAGAAAACAGACCTGCAGAAGCTGCTGTTGTAATCTTACAAGCTGCTGGCTCTCCTTCAGTTCAGATTCTAGCTGAGCCAGGAGCTTGTCACGGTCGGTACCAGCACCAGAGTGGCCTACACGGTCAAGAGATCCTACAGATTATTTTCTTTGATAGACTTACCTACCTATTAGATTGTTCCACCTGGATGTTTACCTTCAGGCACAAGGTCACACAGTCTCCTCTGCACCTGCCTCCAACTCTGAACCACACCTCCAGTCACATGGTCCCCCAGTGCGACCTCAGCCTGATCCAGCAGCATGTCTTCAGTTTGGACCTTGTCCTGAAAGTTCACCACATCGGACAGGGTCTGACAGAAAGGTAAACCTAGAGTTTTATATTTCATGCTTAACTTTGATTCATGCATCCTTTCTGGATCTTTGAGAGTTCTACAGTCTTCCTCAGTAGATTGGTTGTGTGAGCACTTCGAAAGTGGCTTAAAGATCTAAGAATTAATGATAGGATGTCAAATTTCAAAAGATGGACTAAATTGAACTATTCATGGAAATCTCTGCTTCTACTTCTTAAGCCCATTGTGCAGCTTTCTCTGCTGAGGAAGTTCATTTCCAACCATTGAAAGCTCTGGAACAGCAACTTTCTCTTCTTTTACCCACATGCTCCATGTTGACTCTGAGTGCATGCAATAAAGTGGTGAGGCTGTGGCGCAGCTTCATCGCCTCTCTGAGCTCTGCTTCTCTGCGCTCAAGCATCAGACGCAGTGTAGTTTCTTCTTGCCTGCAAGACGGAGAAATTTTGATTATGACATAATCAGAGAGCTGTGGAGCCCATAAAGTCCCATAAGGTGATTTCATTTTAATCTAGTGCGCACAAGTTAACTATTTTGAGAATGTAGGAGTGATGACCATTTCATTTGCCATCAATTGCAATTATTACATATTTTTAAGTGATTTCTTTATGCCTAATACTTCTACACAGGGACTCGTATGTTGTGCATTATGAGCGCCCTCTGCTGGTGACCCACAGACCTACTATATAACAAGCTCCCAAATATACCTGAAAATATGATTGTTTTTCTTGGTGCCATATATCCATGTGATATGTTTGGTAAAACTGTTAATTTATTATAAAACACTTCTTTGATGACTTTTCTCTGGAGTAATTGCGGTTCACTACCTTTATGGTTTGCTAGCTCATCACAGCTTTGTCATTAATCTCCCTCATAGCCCACTCCTAAAAAGTAGGCTATAGTTATTCCGGTGTTTTAGTAATTTCTGGAGCTTATTACTACAAGGAGGCTTCTGTGGCTTTCATAAACGCTGCGAAGGAGCCAAAATCAATATTTACACATTAGAAGGCAATTTTAATTAATAAAATAGAAAATACTTACTTTGCAGTAGACCTGAATGATTTTATTGGATCTTCTCTTTTTCCTCGCCTTCCAGGTAGATAGTTCAACACCTCTAAGGCTGGACGAAAACATAATACACGAGTGCAAAGTCAGTATATATATGGAACAAGCAAATACACATTTGTAAAATGTTTTGAGACTTATTCAGAGTTTCACATGGTCCTTTGTGTCTGTCAGGCAGCTGAGACAGCCTCTCCTTCAGTCTGTTGCTGTGCTGCTCTCTACGCCTCAGCTCTGCTTCCTGCTGGTTACACCGCAGCTGCAGGCGAGAGGACTGGAAAGAGGAAGAATGGTGATTTTCACACGCCAAAAGCATTAGAAGAAAAGGTGCTTAGGAATTAAGTTAAATTACTTTGGCCCGTTCATATTTCAGCATGTCCTGAAGCCTGGCCATATGCTCGTCCATCTCTTTTAGTTGCTCCTACAAAGTCACAGCAGTTTTATTTTCCCATCAGAATTAAAAGCATTTTATATATTTAATTCATCTAAATTAACCCCACTCTGTCTGATTGTTCTTGCTCTCTGTTCTCGTCCTTGACCATCCACCAGGGGGCGCTGACAGACAGATCATTCAGAGGGTTGGGGTTTTGATCACAGAGCTTATGGGTGGCTGAAGCAGACAAGAGAGACAGGAAGAAGGAAGGCAAATAAAACAGAAATACGTCAATGGGGACATTGCTGGATGTTGATTTTTTTTAATGGAAATAACAGGTAAAAGGTGACATTAATACCTGAGCGCTCAGAACGTCTTTCTACCCTCCTCTGGCCAAACCTGGATGCCATTTGTATTCTATATTCACTAATCATATGTTAACTTAACTGGTGTGCACAACATCAGGATTAAAACACTTTCAACACATTTTTTTGGGCGTAATTCTTTTCTTTGAGCACTCAAAATGACAAACATTATATAATAACAAAAGTGAGTTCATGTTTCAAGATCCTTACCTGATCAGGAAAACTTCCTCAAATAGATGCTGCCTCTTTTATTTGCAGGTGATTCCACTTCCGCTAATTAGGCCTACTCTGAAGCCTGTTGTTTATGTTTTAGTATGACGCTATAGCCTACATTTTTTTCCTTAGTATGTTTACCTTGTATCTTGGTGTTGTATTTAGATATGATTGTCATCGATGTTTATCACCTTGGGTCATCATGATCATTTGACCACCCCACCCAGCCATCATAGTGCCTATTGCCTAACATCCTATTGGTGTTGAAATCTATATAAATGGCTCTGCCCCCCACCCCTGATTCATGTTTATTTTAATGCTGTAAGAAGAAAACTTGTTGACTGAGACATAACCAGACATGCACACTCAGCAGTTTAATGTCCAGCTCAGCATTTTTGAAATCTTCTATGGAGGGTTAAAATGAATTAATCTCACATTCATTTCAGCACGTGTTGACACCTTCAAAGTGGATATGAGCACGCTGTTTATCAGTTAAAAGAGTATGGAACAAGGTACCAGCAATATCAGTAAATCTAATGAATCATCCTGTGCCATAACTGAATGTCAAACAACACCAAAGGTTACACAATTGTACCTCTATGTAACACATTCCTGGACCTGTTTGTTTTTTGAGTCATAAAGTCAGATTGAAACAAGTTTATTTAGTAATTAAAAAATACAAGTGGACGAGTTCAATTCATAGTCAGAAATCACAAACAGCACTTTTTCAGTGTCCAAAATAAGTATTTAATTTCTTAAAGGTTGCCAACAGTAGCAAAGGTAGGAAAGATGCAGGCTAACTTGTTAAAAGTTTAGTTGATTGGAATCTGAGTCCAGCGTGAAAAACAATGAATGCAACAAGTCACTGCAGCATGATTCACTCAGAAATATTTAGATTTTTAAATTATATTGGAACTAGTGCAATTTTGCCTGTTGTGTGTATATATTATGATATATATGTTAATGTACTACCAGGTTTCATTTCTCACATACTTAAAGACCATGACATTTCTTTTATACATTAAAGCTCCTGTGAGGAACTTTTGGTCTGTGTCAATTTTGGCGCCCCCCCTGTGGACAAAACTGTATCTCTTGTATTTTCTTGCTGATCTTATTTTGTATATGTGTAAGCAGAATTTCCAGACAAAGATATCACCCTGCTTTATGCCAACTATTATACCACTCGCTTTGTATATTTCCTGAGGAATACTTGAAACAGGCTGTTTTGTTTAGTGTGCACTATATCACTTTGTTTACACATACCCTGGGGCAGAAGTTTCAGCCATTAAAAATGAATACATAGATGTGGCCAGTCTTGTCACTGTTGGTGACAGTGGGTTTTGTGGGTCATAAAAAGGCATCAGCATTAATTTCATTCTATTTTGTAACCAGTTCAAAACTCGTTACAGAGTCTTTATAGACTTGAAAATAAAGGTAGGCCTAATAAAAATCAGTCTTAAGGCTGTTAAATATCTACAGAAGACAAGATTAAAAGTTATCAGACAGTCCCATATCTGCACTGATGAGTTTGTACCGCTTGTTGTACCTCCAAATAGTAGTAACACCATTAATACATAAATAGTTTAAGACACTGTTAAGTTTAGCTCAAAAGCTAACATTATGTCATTTGGCCACAAAATCGAAACGCAGTTCATATATAATATTCATTAACAGCACCTGGTTTAAATTAATGTTTGATAGTTGCTCCATTTGCCACACAACACAAGAGGAATTTTTATTCAGCAGCCAATCATAACGGCTGAGTTTTACTGCCTGGAGACGGACACTATTAGTGCAGTAAATCCAAACCAGACATGTAAAGTAGTGGATGAACTAAGAAAGGCTTAATCATTAGTCAAGTTAGTGTCATAATATTTTTGTTTTCTAACATGTAGAGTTTGGCCCTGCATTAGTGTAACAGATTGTAGTTATTATACCATTCATTTTGGCAAACAAGTGGAAAAGTTCCCCAAACCCATCAGTCCCATGTTGCATTTTCCCAAGAGGAGCAGCTGGTCAATCCCCATCGACTTCAAGTGGGAGTGGAGAAAGCCATTGACAGATAAATTCAGAAATCCTCCATGGTTCTCTCTGCTGTAGACAGAAAACAAACCAGACGTAATTAGCAATCACATATATAATCAACCCTGTAGTGGTTTGTACGGTAATCATGTTAATTTGAAACAAGGTATTCATCCAACGTGTTCCACTAGATGACAAAATGATTTCCTTTATACCAAAGTGTTATTACTTAAATTAAACTTGTGTCTTTTGAGCAAAGATGAACAAGTAGGCTAACTAGGGCCCAACCGATATGGGATTTTTGGGGTCGATACCGATATAGCAGAGGAAGAAAATTCTGATATGAGTTTATTGGCCGATAACTTTCTTTTTTTTTCTGTCGAGACAAATATAGAAATACATATTTATTGAGCTGACCCCTCAAATGCAGGCATCAAACACTTATGTATGTACAGTATAATGTGGACAAATGGTCACTCAACTAGAAAGTAACATGTACGTGCGCCACCGCTTGACACTCTGAAGAGTGATGATGCTTGTTGTAATCCATATAGCGCACTCTGCTGCTAGTGTAATACAATGATAAAATGATAATTGACTGGTTCATAACTCTATAATAATAATAATGTCATACCGGCGCATATCTGTGATAAAAATATCCGATACGATATGTCACTGGACATCCTAATATCGGCCGATATTACCCGCTTGCCAATTAATCTGTCGGGCCCTACATGTAACCAGCATGTGTTTTATAAAAACTAAAAAAAAAGAAGAAAAAAACTCTTAGAAAATTTCTAATCCTGTAAGTAGAAGTACTTTACCGAGCTGCTAGTGAACATCAGTGATGTTAGATCAGAATAATGACTAGTAAAGAAGAACCCCAAACTAGTTGGATGTGGGAAATCCTTAATATTAAAATTGATCCACAAATAAAATAAAGTTGGCATACAGAGGAAAATGTAATGCGATTGATAAATAATTTTACTGGAAGATAATCAATCTGCAAAGATGTTAATAATAACTTTTAGTATTTATTTTTTAGCAAATAGAGGAAATGTTTTTGTTTCAGAATTGCCAGTTTAAAGATTTGCTGCTTTTCTCACCAGCTCATCATTTTAAACCCATTGTTTTTATGTGGAGGGCTGGCAATCTAAACCAAAATAAGCAACCTCAACACCTGGAAGAAGTGCGATGGTGATTTTCTGATGAAATGAGTCGCGTCATTTAACATGAAAGACCCTTTGTCCACATCCTGTTTGCTCTGTCGCCCCTACCTGAATTTAGGAGATAGGATTCTGAATAAAATGAATTTGTGTCCTTAAGTTATGACTCAGAGAGGGGACAAGCAGGCCCACCTTAGAAAAGGGAGCAGGACTTGGGGGGTCTGAAGGGATTATCACTGGAGGGGACCCCCACCAGGAGAGGGTCCTTGGAGGCATTTTGAAGACAGAAGTTTCTCAGCTCGGCTGCCGCCTGGGACACCTGCAAAGCCAAGAAGAAGATTATGTTTTTCAGTAAGAGGAAACATATAAAGCATTAGTAACACTGTAACTGGCTTGCTGCCAAACTATTCTACCTGGCGCTTTGTTTTACATACAGTTTGCAAACAACGGCGCAGTAAACAAACGAGTCTTCTATGTAACTTTATGAAAAACAGGCTGACCACCTGTTAGCTTCATAAACTAACACAAAGAGGTGTAAACATCTACTTCTGTCGATACGTTGGCATTTTGAAGTGGTGACGCTTTCCAAAACAGACAGCATACGATTTCTGACAGCCGTAAAGACGCGGAAGGAAACGTATTTGCTTGTAACTATGGTTCACAAAAAAACAAAAGTGTGTGTCACTTTGTTGAGCCTGTGTTGTAAGAGTCCAGTTTGTGTCATTTTTGGCCACAGTTTGTCTCCGCCATTCAGCAGCAGGTCCGCTCGGTCTTCCGTGTTTGTGTGTTAGTGTTGAGGGGGCTCGTACCTTGATCCTCCGGATACTGGCCTCTAGCCGGAGCTGCTTCACGGCCCTTTGAGCGATGATTAAGTTGTTGCTTGCATTATTGTTGGACATGGCGACGACTGTCGACGGAGGAAAAGTTGAGAGCTACTTAACATGAACCGCTGGGCGGAAATTAACCCTGACTGCTCCGAAACCCTGAACCCGACTGGGGAAGGTTGGTCACTTAGTGCCCCGCCCACTCTGTGCGAACAAGCTATTCTATTGGGTCCTTGGCCAGTCAATCAAAGAGTGACGAGAAAGCCAGGTCCCCTGCTTACACTGACCATTATTGTGAGTTTCCTAGAGAGCAGAGAAGTAGTAGAGTATACTTCGACCTTCAGCTGAAGGGTAAACAACCACAACACACAGTCTGTCACCCCCTGATTAAACTAACACCACTGTCATACTGTTTATAGGCCTATACAAAAATATTTATTGCAAAAAAAGTCATTTTCTGCTGTGATTCACTGCACCTAAATGGACTGTAATGTTGGGTTTAAGCCTAGCTACCACCAGGACAGCATGAAGGCTGCTGGGAAAATTTCAGCACACATTTTGTAGCTGAAGGTCCCAGTTTTATATTTTCATCTCAATAATTTAAAAAAATATATATTTTTGGGGTCATTTTTTCCTTTATTGGATACAACAGCTGAAGAGAAACAGGATGTGTTGGGGGGATAGAGTTGGGGATGACATGCAGCAAAGGGCCACAGTCAGATTCGAACCCAACGGTCGCTGCAATGTGGACTTAAGCAACTGTACATGAGGCACGCAACATAACCACTAGGCCATTGGTTCCCAAAGTAGGGGTCGGGACCCCCCCCCCCCCGAGTGGTCGCGAGCTACTGAGAGGCGCTCACAAGATGCCCTCCTGTGTGTCTGTTTAAGTTTAGTTTGTCCACTCAGTGCTTCTAGCCTTTCTCACAATAAATGACTATATAACATAGTTATATGGTTTTTAGGCTGTTGTCTTGTTATTTTTGGTGTTTTGATGGGCATATTAGTGCATGTGTGAGGCAGTGCGCTACATTATATCCCCAAGGCATCTCCAGGGACAGTGGGGGGATCCCCAATCTCTGGCACTCGTTTGGGAACCCCTGCTACTGATCATCACAATACTTTTAGCTTAAACTACCATCATGTTGTTGCTGCACAACATACCGGTAATTCACCTGGTGTTTTATTACAACTCATATAGCCTACAGATGATACAACATGTTTAAATTTAATAAGAATAATTTTGTTTATCATTTGGAGATCGTCTTCAAAGAAGAAGAAACAACAAATAAAAAGTCTCAACTATAGAGTGAAACACTCAGGGGGAGAAAGGTTTATTTATTGTAAGTTTATGAGCAAATATTGGAGTTTAAATATCAATGAGACCTTTTTGTCAATAAAAGTTCCAAGAATTTAAAATAAACATCATCTTTTGAGTGGGATATAAAAACAATATTTAAATATTCTAATATTTAATCTATCTAAAACACCGCTTCATGCACAGATAGGCAGGATTTATAAAGGTTAAGTCTGACATATTCAACAATCAGTGTAATCTTTTTTTTAAAGTGTTTATTTATAACACCTGCAAACTTGCATAATAGGTTACAGTTTTCACCTAACTTGGAAAATCTGTCATTAGTTTAATAATCTACTTTCAAACAATATTGGTTCAAGACAAATGTAATTTAAAACATGCTGAAAGAACATATAAAGTTATATTTAATGAAAAATTAAAATCATCCCAAAATGACCACAGCGGTGAAGAAGAGTTTGGTAACATGTTTTTTTTTAATACATTTTATTATTTCTTTGTTATTGTTGATTTGTTACACAATCATTACAAAGGACAGAAGAATCAGAGCAGACTGTGTGTGAGTGTGAAAAGTTTGATTATAAAAGGTTAAACCAGTTTTTAAAATAGTTTCATGTCTTGTGCATAAGAGAAACGTCTTCATGATATGACATTATGGGATGTGTTGGTGTAACCAGCTCACTTAGTTGACTTGTCCCCTAAAGATTAGGAAAGAGATATAACAAAAAACATGCTTGTTATTTCCACACAGTTTATTGTGTTGGGACATCAGCCCTCAGACTAAATCATATTTTTACTTACAAGCAATTGGTCCAATGGTGACGCGGTCCATAGCAACAGAGCTGGAAACAGAGCAATATTTCCTCCTTTGACAGGACTTCATGGTGGAGAGGATACAGAAAGAGCAGATATTGTCACTGTCCATTTTTGTAAGCAGCAGTGATTATGGGTGAACAACTATGACGGTCACTGCCTTAGTGAGGCTATTACTAATTGATTCTGTCCCCCTAGTTCTTGAGGAGTTGGATGGTCCAATCTAGAGCACCTGGGCCTGTTGCTTGCAGGGCATAAAAGCCAGACCCCAGGGTGGATCTTCTCTCTCTCTCTCGCCTAACAATGACATTCATCCCATGTTTGTTTGTGCTATAGTTGTGGGTGCATTGTTCCAATAAATCATTGTTACCTCAATTTAAGTTGTTCTTTATCATATTTGTCATGGCCATGGAGCCAGGTTATGACACAACTCACTGATGAAGTGAACTGTTTGACTTACTGGGACACAGCAAAATCTCTCTCGGTCACACAGGCTTATGTTGCAGTGAAGATAAATGGCTCTATAATCGTCCTCCAGCAGGAAGAGCAGGGCAGAGAAACGAGCACGCAAAGACATGCCGCTCTCAATCACAGACACCTGTCGGGCATCGGTCGAACACCTGGCAGAGAGAAAGAAAAGAGCTCACCAAGTCCATAAAGCATATTACACTACATCTCACTTTTCTCCATTTCAGTTTAACTCCACAAACAATGTTCTGAGTCTAAAGAGAAGAGGGACACTCACTTGTTCTGGATGAGAGAGTATCGCTGGTAATAGTGAGGATCGGATGAGTGAGAGGCGTAACATTCCTCCAGAACAACAACAAATCTGAGCTCTCTTTCTGTTACAGAGACACCCACGTACAAAGGTGAACCCAGTGGCAGGTTGACCCCTCCAGCTGGGAAAGTCTCAGTGAAGGCGGAGTTACGGAAAAGAGACATGACGGCACTGGGTCCGGCACCAGAACCAGATCCTAAAATGTCCCATGACGACCTATAAAGAAAGTAAGTTTGAATTGATTTACAATTAAACACCTTTATCTCGTACAATTGTAATTATTTCAGAATACCATGGATATTTCTTTGTGGTTTAAGTCGTAGTAAACAGACAACAGGCAGTGAAATAGCTGACTGTCCAAAAAAAAACAGCGTTTGGACCTCACTCAAACCTACAACACTGCTTTCATTCACTGTGGTACCATCAGATTCTTGGTTAAATATTGCTACGGCAATTTACACTTTGAATTAGATTTTTTTTTAAATGATATCACTGATCAAACCAGCACAAGTGTAATTTTATTCATCAAGCCAGGATTTGTTAGTTGCTGAGGTCTTGAGAGCAAAATTACATTATGTAAAAGCTGATTCCAAATTCACAAACTAGGCTACAAGCTAAAAAAAAGAAAATCTGTTGCAGTAGCCATGTTTTAACCTGTAGAGGGCAGTCACTATACACATTTTTAACACAATATTTTGAATTTCAATACTTTGTACTCAAATGTCGAGACTTGGACCTGAATTGATCCACAACGGTAATTAATACTCCTATTTAAAAATGATGAAAAATATACAAATGATTCTTGTTGTATCACAGTAACAATATGAATCGTTTTCCTTGACTTATCTTTTAAATGACAAATGTAGTGTACATTTTGTCACTAACTGACAACCTCCTTTTTTTGATATGCCAAAGGTCTAATGGAGCCCCCTGGTGGATTATCTATGTGCTGTATGTAACTAAAGGAACTCACTGAGGACATGTGTATCAAAAATGATTCACCTGGTTATATAGTTAATATCAACATTAGATCTCAGAAGTATTATCAGGTATTAGTTAAACAGTTCACATGACATATTGACTAGTGCATAGTTAGTAACAATCAATAAGAGGGAGGCTACTTACGGCAGGAATGGTCTGATAGCCACATTCAGGCTGGTGTCTGTTTCCAGGGGATACGCACAGGAGAAGGGGATGCTCACAGGAAGGTTAAAGGACCCATTGATAACAGGGTAGACAAATAAACTGTTGGAGTAGATCGTATGTGTGCGGTTGGTCTGAAAAACAGGGGTTGATTGAATTAACGGAAAGTACATAGACATGTAAACTTTAGTTGAAGTGATGTGAGCAGCTGCATTAAAAGCATTACCAAAGAGAGGGAGAAAAAACTTTCCTACAGGGGGGAGAAGCTATATTTAAAATGTTTTAAGATAATGAATAATGAGTCCCTTTGCACCTTAAATTTAGTCTCAGACCAACCAAAAGCTATAAGGTTTAACTTGGAGTACAGTAAAAGAAGAGGGACAATAGGATAAATATTTTAAAGAGGTCCAGATTTTAACATTTTTTCCATTAGCTGCATGTTTAAAATCAATTTGAAGAAAAATAACAAAAGAAAATGTTGAAATTAATTTCCAAAGGAAAAGCTAAGAACATGGGCGGTTCTAGGCAGGGGCCAACAGGGGCCAGTGCCCCTGTAACACTGAGCTTGGTCCCCCCTGTGTCCACCCCTCAAAAAGGAAGAACCCCCCTAGTATTTGACTCAACAACTGGACTCACAATCTAGTATTAAATACTGTTATTGAAACAAACATAAATCATGCTATTTAATGTTGTGGTATTTAATGATGTGTGCTATTATTTGGCATAATATATATATATATTTTTAAACGATCATCTTTGTCTATTTTTCACCTGGCCCCAGTTTGGCCCCCTCAGTAAAAGTGGTCTATAACCGCCACTGGCTAAGAAATAAAACAACAACTAAGTCTGTACCGTCAGAGTGTTTCCACAGGCACCTTCCACAGCGTCTACTTCATACCACACCATGTTATTTTGTACTCTGGCCCAGGAGCAATTAAGAGATGCCAAGTTGCCAGAGTATGGGTTCAAACCTGAGGTGAGGTCAGCCAAATCCAGCCCCATTTGAAGTTTATCAGGGCTGCAAATTAGCTGGTGATCATGCAGTGCAGAGTCTGGAAATAAAAGAATAAAAGGAAGAGAACACAATAAAAATTATTATGCATATATCCTGTGAAACTAAATCACAAACTGTCGTTTCACTATAAACATATTTTTAAAATACTTAAGAAAATCCTCTCAAATATTGTAGTTTAATATGAGTAACAAGAATTAGCGATTACTTAAACAAGAGTAAACATTAACCTTCACAGATGACACTGGCATCTTCAACGTGATTACAGTTGTGGACCCCAAGCCCTGGATGTCTGCACTCTGTTATTGATGTTTCGTTGCCGGAACAACCAACATCATCCAACCAGATTGGTCCACTGCCCTGTCCAAAAGCTGCATTTAGTAATGCTGAACGAGGAGGGCCACAGTCCAGCTGTCTACACACCACGTTAGCATCACTGAGGTCCCAGGCATCGTCACACACTGTCCCCCACCGACCATCATGGTAGACCTCCACTCTGCCAGAGCAGCGGTTATTAGAGTTGACCAGCCTGACTGGTGCAGCAGCTGACGGAAAACATGAGACATTATGTTGATGATGAGAGACACAAGAAAGAGTGACTTCAAAAGACAAGATGTTTAAATACAATAAAAAAACAGCAACAACTTATATGTCTTAGTACTGTAAACATCATGTTTTATATTCATCCAACCCATTACTGACAACTAAAAACATCATTGACCCCTCAAAGACAAGCGATATATTTTAAAAAAAACATACTAGAGATATGAATTTTAAAACAAAAAATACTATTTAAGGATGAGTAGCTAGATCTCTGCTGAATATTATACCTTAGAAAGCTTTTGACTAGAACCTGACCGATTAAGTGGCTAATATTAGCATATCCCGTGACTATCAGTAACGGCTATCCTTATTGCATATGTGCCGATATTACTAGATTTATTCACCAGTCAAAAAGCATTTCATTTGAGTTTCATTGTATTACACTAGAAGTTCTCTTTCACCAGCAGAGGGCGCTATATGGATTACAACAAGCATTATCACTCTCCAGATTGTCAAGCACTGATGCAAATACATGCACAGTAACTTTCGAGTGGAGTGACCATCTTGTCCTCCTTATAATGTATATATTTTAAGTGTTCGATAACTTCATTTGAGGGATCAACAAAATAGATTTGTATTAGTTTTTATTTCTCTAAAGATCGAATATAAATCTAAGAAAGATATCAGCCGATATTTCTTTATCGGATTTTCTTTTCTCCTCAATATCGATATCGGATCCAAAAATCCCATATCAGCCGGCCCTACTTTTGACAGATCATAAGAATTATATTTACCTTCACAGATGACACCAGCATCTTGATTGCGTCCACAGTTGTGTGATCCAAACCCTCTGTGCCTGCACTCTCCAAGCTTTGATTCGCTGCCTGTGCAAGAGACATCATCCATCCAGATGGGTCCACTGCCCTGTCCAAAATAGGCAGCTGATGGTGCTGACAGAGCCCTGCCACAGCCCATCTGTCTGCACACCACCTGAGCATCAGCCAGGCCCCATTGATCATCACACACCGTCCCCCACTGTCCACGATGGAAGATCTCTACTCTGCCAGAGCAGGACTGGTTCCCTCTGTTAACCAGACGGACCTCACCCTCAACTGCTGAGCTGCTGTCGGGTGTTGTGGTGGAGAGGATGTCAGCTGTCACTTGAGCGGTGGTGATGGTCCCAGGTGTTGTAACAGGTGTGGTGGGTACAACTGTGCTAATAGATCCTGGATGACCGAAAAGAAGAGTCTCTATCAAGTCCTTCAACATCTACAGTCTAAATTGTTATCAATATTTATGTGCAAATGATCTCTTTATTTGATGATGAAAGACACAAGAAAGAGTGACTTCAAAAGACAAGATGTTTAATAAAAAACAGCAACAACTTGTGTTTTAGTACTGTAAAGATCATGTTTTATATTCATCCAACCCATTACTGACAACTAAAATCCTCTTTGACCCCTCAAAGACAAGTGATATATTTAAAAAAAACCATACTAGAGATATCAATTTTGAAACAAAAAATACTATTTAAGGATGAGTAGCTAGATCTCTGCTGAATATTATACCTTAGAAAGCTTTTGACTAGAACCTGACCGATTAATTGGCTAATATTAGCATATCCCGTGACTATCGGTAATCGCTAACTTTATCCCATATGTGCCGATATTACTAGATTTATTCACCAGTCAAAAAGCATTTCATTTGAGTTTCATTGTATTACACTAGAAGTTCTCTTTCACCAGCAGAGGGCGCTATATGGATTACAACAAGCATTATCACTCTCCAGATTGTCAAGCACTGATGCAAGTACATGCACAGTAACTTTTGAGTGGAGTGACCATCTTGTCCTCCTTATAATGTATATATTTTAAATGTTTGATAACTTCATTTGAGGGATCAACAAAATAGATTTGTATTAGTTTTTATTTCTCTAAAGATCGAATATAAATCTAAGAAAGATATCAGCTGATATTCCTTTATCGGATTTTCTTTTCTCCTCAATATCGATATCGGATCCAAAAATCCCATATCAGCCGGCCCTACTTTTGACAGATCATAAGAATTATATTTACCTTCACAGACGACACCAGCATCTTGATTGCGTCCACAGTTGTGTGATCCAAACCCTCTGTGCCTGCACTCTCCAAGCTTTGATTCGCTGCCTGTGCAAGAGACATCATCCATCCAGATGGGTCCACTGCCCTGTCCAAAATAGGCAGCTGATGGTGCTGACAGAGCCCTGCCACAGCCCATCTGTCTGCACACCACCTGAGCATCAGCCAGGCCCCATTGATCATCACACACCGTCCCCCACTGTCCACGATGGAAGATCTCTACTCTGCCAGAGCAGGACTGGTTCCCTCTGTTAACCAGACGGACCTCACCCTCAACTGCTGAGCTGCTGTCGGGTGCTGTGGTGGAGAGGATGTCAGCTGTCACTTGAGCGGTGGTGATGGTCCCAGGTGTTGTAACAGGTGTGGTGGGTACAACTGTGCTAATAGATCCTGGATGACCGAAAAGAAGAGTCTCTATCAAGTCCTTCAACATCTACAGTCTAAATTGTTATCAATATTTATGTGCAAATGATCTCTTTATTTGATGATGAAAGACACAAGAAAGAGTGACTTCAAAAGACAAGATGTTTAATAAAAAACAGCAACAACTTGTGTTTTAGTACTGTAAAGATCATGTTTTATATTCATCCAACCCATTACTGACAACTAAAATCCTCTTTGACCCCTCAAAGACAAGCGATATATTAAAAAAAAACCATACTAGAGATATCAATTTTGAAACAAAAAATACTATTTAAGGATGAGTAGCTAGATCTCTGCTGAATATTATACCTTAGAAAGCTTTTGACTAGAACCTGACCGATTAATTGGCTAATATTAGCATATCCCGTGACTATCGGTAACGGCTATCCTTATCGCATATGTGCCGATATTACTAGATTTATTCACCAGTCAAAAAGCATTTCATTTGAGTTTCATTGTATTACACTAGAAGTTCTCTTTCACCAGCAGAGGGCGCTATATGGATTACAACAAGCATTATCACTCTCCAGATTGTCAAGCACTGATGCAAGTACATGCACAGTTACTTTCGAGTGGAGTGACCATCTTGTTCTCCTTATAATGTATATATTTTAAGTGTTTGATAACTTTATTTGAGGGATCAACAAAATAGATTTGTATTAGTTTTTATTTCTCTAAAGATCGAATATAAATCTAAGAAAGATATCAGCTGATATTCCTTTATCGGATTTTCTTTTCTCCTCAATATCGATATCGGATCCAAAAATCCCATATCAGCCGGCCCTACTTTTGACAGATCATAAGAATTATATTTACCTTCACAGACGACACCAGCATCTTGATTGCGTCCACAGTTGTGTGATCCAAACCCTCTGTGCCTGCACTCTCCAAGCTTTGATTCGCTGCCTGTGCAAGAGACATCATCCATCCAGATGGGTCCACTGCCCTGTCCAAAATAGGCAGCTGATGGTGCTGACAGAGCCCTGCCACAGCCCATCTGTCTGCACACCACCTGAGCATCAGCCAGGCCCCATTGATCATCACACACCGTCCCCCACTGTCCACGATGGAAGATCTCTACTCTGCCAGAGCAGGACTGGTTCCCTCTGTTAACCAGACGGACCTCACCCTCAACTGCTGAGCTGCTGTCGGGTGCTGTGGTGGAGAGGATGTCAGCTGTCACTTGAGCGGTGGTGATGGTCCCAGGTGTTGTAACAGGTGTGGTGGGTACAACTGTGCTAATAGATCCTGGATGACCGAAAAGAAGAGTCTCTATCAAGTCCTTCAACATCTACAGTCTAAATTGTTATCAATATTTATGTGCAAATGATCTCTTTATTTGATGATGAAAGACACAAGAAAGAGTGACTTCAAAAGACAAGATGTTTAATAAAAAACAGCAACAACTTGTGTTTTAGTACTGTAAAGATCATGTTTTATATTCATCTAACCCATTACTGACAACTAAAATCCTCTTTGACCCCTCAAAGACAAGCGATATATTTAAAAAAAACCATACTAGAGATATCAATTTTGAAACAAAAAATACTATTTAAGGATGAGTAGCTAGATCTCTGCTGAATATTATACCTTAGAAAGCTTTTGACTAGAACCTGACCGATTAATTGGCTAATATTAGCATATCCCGTGACTATCAGTAACGGCTATCCTTATCGCATATGTGCCGATATTACTAGATTTATTCACCAGTCAAAAAGCATTTCATTTGAGTTTCATTGTATTACACTAGAAGTTCTCTTTCACCAGCAGAGGGCGCTATATGGATTAAAACAAGCATTATCACTCTCCAGATTGTCAAGCACTGATGCAAATACATGCACAGTAACTTTCGAGTGGAGTGACCATCTTGTCCTCCTTATAATGTATATATTTTAAGTGTTTGATAACTTCATTTGAGGGATCAACAAAATAGATTTGTATTAGTTTTTATTTCTCTAAAGATCGAATATAAATCTAAGAAAGATATCAGCCGATATTCCTTTATCGGATTTTCTTTCCTCCTCAATATCGATATCGGATCCAAAAATCCCATATCAGCCGGCCCTACTTTTGACAGATCATAAGAATTATATTTACCTTCACAGACGACACCAGCATCTTGATTGCGTCCACAGTTGTGTGATCCAAACCCTCTGTGCCTGCACTCTCCAAGCTTTGATTCGCTGCCTGTGCAAGAGACATCATCCATCCAGATGGGTCCACTGCCCTGTCCAAAATAGGCAGCTGATGGTGCTGACAGAGCCCTGCCACAGCCCATCTGTCTGCACACCACCTGAGCATCAGCCAGGCCCCATTGATCATCACACACCGTCCCCCACTGTCCACGATGGAAGATCTCTACTCTGCCAGAGCAGGACTGGTTCCCTCTGTTAACCAGACGGACCTCACCCTCAACTGCTGAGCTGCTGTCGGGTGCTGTGGTGGAGAGGATGTCAGCTGTCACTTGAGCGGTGGTGATGGTCCCAGGTGTTGTAACAGGTGTGGTGGGTACAACTGTGCTAATAGATCCTGGATGACCGAAAAGAAGAGTCTCTATCAAGTCCTTCAACATCTACAGTCTAAATTGTTATCAATATTTATGTGCAAATGATCTCTTTATTTGATGATGAAAGACACAAGAAAGAGTGACTTCAAAAGACAAGATGTTTAATAAAAAACAGCAACAACTTGTGTTTTAGTACTGTAAAGATCATGTTTTATATTCATCCAACCCATTACTGACAACTAAAATCCTCTTTGACCCCTCAAAGACAAGCGATATATTAAAAAAAAACCATACTAGAGATATCAATTTTGAAACAAAAAATACTATTTAAGGATGAGTAGCTAGATCTCTGCTGAATATTATACCTTAGAAAGCTTTTGACTAGAACCTGACCGATTAATTGGCTAATATTAGCATATCCCGTGACTATCGGTAACGGCTATCCTTATCGCATATGTGCCGATATTACTAGATTTATTCACCAGTCAAAAAGCATTTCATTTGAGTTTCATTGTATTACACTAGAAGTTCTCTTTCACCAGCAGAGGGCGCTATATGGATTACAACAAGCATTATCACTCTCCAGATTGTCAAGCACTGATGCAAATACATGCACAGTAACTTTCGAGTGGAGTGACCATCTTGTCCTCCTTATAATGTATATATTTTAAATGTTTGATAACTTTATTTGAGGGATCAACAAAATAGATTTGTATTAGTTTTTATTTCTCTAAAGATCGAATATAAATCTAAGAAAGATATCAGCCGATATTCCTTTATCGGATTTTCTTTTCTCCTCAATATCGATATCGGATCCAAAAATCCCATATCAGCCAGCCCTACTTTTGACAGATCATAAGAATTATATTTACCTTCACAGACGACACCAGCATCTTGATTGCGTCCACAGTTGTGTGATCCAAACCCTCTGTGCCTGCACTCTCCAAGCTTTGATTCGCTGCCTGTGCAAGAGACATCATCCATCCAGATGGGTCCACTGCCCTGTCCAAAATAGGCAGCTGATGGTGCTGACAGAGCCCTGCCACAGCCCATCTGTCTGCACACCACCTGAGCATCAGCCAGGCCCCATTGATCATCACACACCGTCCCCCACTGTCCACGATGGAAGATCTCTACTCTGCCAGAGCAGGACTGGTTCCCTCTGTTAACCAGACGGACCTCACCCTCAACTGCTGAGCTGCTGTCGGGTGTTGTGGTGGAGAGGATGTCAGCTGTCACTTGAGCGGTGGTGATGTTCCCAGGTGTTGTAATAGGTGTGGTGGGTACAACTGTGCTAATAGATCCTGGATGACCGAAAAGAAGAGTCTCTCTCAAGTCCTTCAACATCTACAGTCTAAATTGTTATCAATATTTGATAATATGATATGTGCAAATGATCTCTTTATTTGATGATGAAAGACACAAGAAAGAGTGACTTCAAAAGACAAGATGTTTAATAAAAAACAGCAACAACTTGTGTTTTAGTACTGTAAAGATCATGTTTTATATTCATCCAACCCATTACTGACAACTAAAATCCTCTTTGACCCCTCAAAGACAAGCGATATATTTAAAAAAAACCATACTAGAGATATCAATTTTGAAACAAAAAATTCTATTTAAGGATGAGTAGCTAGATCTCTGCTGAATATTATACCTTAGAAAGCTTTTGACTAGAACCTGACCGATTAATTGGCTAATATTAGCATATCCCGTGACTATCGGTAACGGCTATCCTTATCGCATATGTGCCGATATTACTAGATTTATTCACCAGTCAAAAAGCATTTCATTTGAGTTTCATTGTATTACACTAGAAGTTCTCTTTCACCAGCAGAGGGCGCTATATGGATTACAACAAGCATTATCACTCTCCAGATTGTCAAGCACTGATGCAAGTACATGCACAGTAACTTTCGAGTGGAGTGACCATCTTGTCCTCCTTATAATGTATATATTTTAAATGTTTGATAACTTTATTTGAGGGATCAACAAAATAGATTTGTATTAGTTTTTATTTCTCTAAAGATCGAATATAAATCTAAGAAAGATATCAGCCGATATTCCTTTATCGGATTTTCTTTTCTCCTCAATATCGATATCGGATCCAAAAATCCCATATCAGCCGGCCCTACTTTTGACAGATCATAAGAATTATATTTACCTTCACAGACGACACCAGCATCTTGATTGCGTCCACAGTTGTGTGATCCAAACCCTCTGTGCCTGCACTCTCCAAGCTTTGATTCGCTGCCTGTGCAAGAGACATCATCCATCCAGATGGGTCCACTGCCCTGTCCAAAATAGGCAGCTGATGGTGCTGACAGAGCCCTGCCACAGCCCATCTGTCTGCACACCACCTGAGCATCAGCCAGGCCCCATTGATCATCACACACCGTCCCCCACTGTCCACGATGGAAGATCTCTACTCTGCCAGAGCAGGACTGGTTCCCTCTGTTAACCAGACGGACCTCACCCTCAACTGCTGAGCTGCTGTCGGGTGCTGTGGTGGAGGTGATATTGACCTGACTGGCAGAAGAGGTCGCTGTACTTGGATCAGGTGTGGTTGAAGGATTTTCAGGAGTTGCTTCGTTCACCTCTGGTTACAATGAAAACAAGGAGATACCATTGCTTAACTAAAGGAACATTTCTAATCAGAATTAAGAACAACAGGACAATTCTTTTAAAAACTGATTTAGATGAAAAATGTAAATATGTGGTTACAGCGTTAATGTTACAAATGGAACAATACCTGCACAGTATGCAAGCGAACATGTGCTTGGCTGCACAAGTTTGTAGACAAAGTAGTTTCCATAGCAGAGCTTGACATGGATAGTGTGTGAGGAGAAACGACAGCACCTTCCTGACCATGAGTTACACACAGTGCGGCTCACAATCTGACCTGACTGTGTGGGATGAGGGGTTTTTAGCCATAGAGGACCCTCGGTTCCACAACTGTTTTCAGCCACACACCTCTCTGGAATATGAGCACTGGTTTGGCCCAGAAACAGCCGATACCAGCCTTGCCAGTCAACATTTCGGTCACAGTGTAGGTTTTGGGTGGACGTGTTATTTGTTGATCGCCAGTCATCATTCAGCACAGTGTACTCCTGGCAGGGGTCAGCACACTGGAGAGTCCCATTCATTCTGACACAGTCTGTGCCTGAAGGACACACAGTGGAGCCACAGCTGAACTGGACAGACTGGGAGGAGGGACCTGATCTGGAGCTGGGGGAAGGCTCCAAGCATACGAAAGAGCCTGGAGTGTTTGTGCAAACCTGAGATGGTTTGCATGGGGAGTCTGTAAGAGAGCACTCGTCTGTGTCCACACAGCCCCTGTCTGGTGACCACTGATAACCTTCTTTACAGCAAGAAGAGTCACTACAGAGTTTTATATTGTAACACATGAGGCCGTCACCTACAAAACCATCGTTACAGACACAAGAGAGTATTTGCCTTGACATGTCGCCTCTTCCTCTAGACTCGAGGCAGGCGGCTTCATCGTGACATGAATCACAGCTGGAGACACGTGTTCCTGTGCAGAGGACAAGAATAGTAAAATAAAAACTTTTCAATTTAAAAAGTAACTCTATTACATAAAAGTGATGTAAATTACATTCTTTTTTCCTTTAGAACAACTTGTTTTTTCTGCTCAAATCTCACCACAGAATAGTGCATATCTGGAAAACCTACAAATGTGATGATTTCTTACTTTCTTGGAAATACTTAAGTGGAAATTAATTGCAAGACAAGACAAGAACTACTGGTAGTGCAGAAAATTGACATCTAAACTGTTAGTATTTAAATAATGTAAGAATAGCTGATATACATTATCACTGGAGTGGTAAAATGCAACACTAACAGAATTAAATATCACAAGAATTTTTAGCGGGGTAGGCTTATACTGTGAAAAAGTTGAGTATCACATTCTTATCAATTGGTCTTTGAAACCCCCACATGTAGTGCCATCAGTTTGGTTTGTGTGTCGGGAAAAAAATGTACTTGTTCATTTGATCAAATGCTTTTAATTGAAGCACATGACAACTCAAATAGGAGAAAAGATACATGAGAAAATGAAGTCAGATGGTATACCTGATGTTCTTACGGTAAAACACTGTAAAAGCAGGAGTAAAAACACACTCCTAGGCACCGTCATTATTGCCCACATCCACGATATTAACTTTCTGAAAAAGAAAAAAAAGGCATGTCTGAAACCACATTTTCAATGAGATGCATAAAATTCAATACTCTACCCATTTTTGTGCTGAATTTGGAGCTAGGCCCCAGCAGCAGCTCAGCTACCACAGTTTAGGTAAACAAAGACTATTCAGATTTTTCCAGACTGTAAATCATGCTAAAGTTATCTGGGACTCAAAGACCAAATCAAGTGGAATTGTTGAAGGACACTCGAACATTTGACACATTATATCAAAAATAGATCAGGTTAAACATGTATTGATGGACTCTTATCTGGATAATCCTTGTCTCAGTTAATCCTGGATAAACAGTAATAATATCCCAACACATGTACCTGGTTATGTTTGTTTTAGAAGAGACAGACAGTAAGGGGGGGGGAGGGGTATATTAGAGCAGTAAGCAAAAAGTAAAAATGATCTGTTCAAAACATAGTTTTAAAGAAATAATCAAATAATCGACCAGACTTACTAAACTCAGTAAAACCCCAATTGACTTGATCTTCATGAATAGACTTGAGCACATTACCGATACATACAATTTCATTACAGGCCTGAGTGAGAAAATTATCCAAAAAACATTTACAAGCCTTCTACAATGATTCCCATAAACCAGAAACCACAGGCATTCCCAGGAACAAAAAAATTCAATTTGAAAATCCATTGCAGAATATTAATTGGGAAAATGTTACAGACATTCAAAATTTTGATTATTTTTGTTTTACAATGATGAAAATACTCATGGATGTGATTCAGAAATAAACTCAGTCATTGAAGCATCCACAATGTAAAAGGGCCTTACCGTGGCTGATCAAGAGTATTAATCTGCTGATGAAAAAAAGAGACCTTGTGCTCAAACAATCTTCATGCACAACTCATGAACAACTCACGAACTCATGCAGACACACTTGTTTTTAAAGGGCTAAAAGATAGGGTAGTGAAAGAGCTGCATTGTGCAATAACCACTTACTTCATCAAATTGATTGCTGAATCGGAAGGGAAAAGCTCAGCACTTTCTCAATAATTTAACCAACCGAACAATTAACCCCCAAAAATCAGTAGTGGAATTGAAATAAGTGGAAGAGTTTGTAATCATATAATTGAAATTGCAAACAAATGTAATACATTTTTTATTAAATCAGCTTAGGAACTGGCAGCAAGTTTCCTTCTTACCCACACTCTTGAAAAAACTGTTGTCGACTACCTTGAAAGTAATAACCTTCTGCACCCCAAACAATTTGGTTTTAGACAACGGTACTCAACAGAGTGGGCAAACTGTTACCTTACTGAAACAATAAAACAGTCATTGGTTGAAGGCAGTGTAGTAGGAGCAGTATTTTTGGACTTGAAAAAGCCTTTAATACTGTGAATCATGACATTCTCCTAAATAAACTGCAAAAAAATATGTTTTCTGATTTTGGTTTCAAATGTATCTTGAATGCAGAGAGCAGTGTGAAGGAATAAATTCCACTCAGTCATCTGTTCAAACTTGCAGAATGGGAATTCCACAATGTTCCATTTTAGGGCCCTTACTTTTTAGCTTAATGATTTACCAGACAGCTGCAAAAGAGTTAGCTGTCAAATGTATGCAGATGACACAGTTATATATGTGAATATGTACAATCCGATCCATCAACCGACTATGGACAGACCTCATTGGCTGCAAACTCCTGGTCAATAAGCTCAACTTCCCCAACCAATCCTTTCCATCCCTCGTCCACTCCCACCTCTACAACGGGTCCTCCAATACCCGACCTGATCGGACCTGTCCAAAGTCACCTCCTGCAAGCAGTAGAAAGAGGAAACAGTGCCAGTCTACTATCATTGCCTATATCTCATGACCAACGAACAACATGGGCCCCTGGGAAAACCATCTGAAACTGTGTTTCCTTGAGGGACTGCTCCCCCATCTCGTCTCTCACTCATGCCTCTTGCATTGGCTATGAGGACGCTAGACTGGATGAGGTGGTGAGACACGCAAAGCATGCTGAAAAACAATTTCAAGCACAACAAACATGAAAAGCTAAATCAAAAGAAAAAGCCCTTCATCTGGTCCAAATATCAATGGTAACTGGATGGTTTACTGGACAGGCGCATGCAGGAGGGGATTTTCCAGCCATTGGTTTTGATTGGAAGGGACGCCATGAGGGAGACGCCAGGACGCAAGACACCTGAGAGACTGACTCTGAAATATATCTTATTTTTGGTGTCGACACTTCACGTTTCTTTTGCAAATAATTGAAACTGGTATGAAAGAGTACGGGCTGGCTGGGGAGATTGCACCCAAATGACTCCGTGGATTGGGCTGTGTTAGCTGTGTTGGTTGTGGCATGAACGAGGATCTTGGTGGTGAGTCACCTGCACCCACCCCTTAAACAGACAGGACAGTTGCACACATTCAGGTAAGGCAGAATACACCTTTCATTTCATTTCATTTATTATATAGGAAAGTTTAAAAGTAACATTAAGTTACAGTTTAACGGGCCTGTCTCAGTTTAAAAAACTGGTTTCCAGCAGGTTTCTGTTCTGCAGAACATAAAACATAAACCACAGTCATGACACATCAAGACAAATACATTTACAGGACATTAGCATGGGCTAGGCAGATACAGACAAATAGAAACAGATACTGTGAACAATACTTGAACAATATATGAACAATTAATGAGTACAGTTGTAAGTGTGGAGAAGGTGTCGTTTGTATGTATTTTTTAAATATGAGGTAGATGGTAAAGTTCTAATGTGATGGGGAATGTCATTCCAAATTTTGGTGTATGTATAAAAGAAGGACATCCGACCATAGTTGTTTTTGTATGCAGGGACTGGGATGAGTGCCTGTGAGACTGACCTAGTGGTGCGCACTTGTCTCATATTATGTGTCGGTAGAATTGCAGCAAGTGTTGGTGAAGTGCTGTTTTTAATCTGAAAATAGTATGTAATGGCGTGGCTCTGTATGTAATTCTGGAAAGTCAAGGCGTTGGAGCGTGTGAGTGCAGAGCAGTGGTGTGACCACTTTGGGAGGTTACTGTGGATCTTAAGAGCTCGATAGTACAGTCGTGCTATTGGTTCAGTAATCTCCTTAGTGGTAAGTGACCAGATTGGAAGACAGTAGGAAATTGATGAAAACACAATTGCATGTAGGTGCATTTCAGAAACAGAGAAGGAAAGATATGATCTGATCTTATTATACACAAAGTTTCTGACTCAGCTTAGTAGTTAGTTTAGAGGTGTGTTCACAGTATGTAAGATGTGAATCAAGTAGCACACCAAGATATTTGTAGGTCTTTGTGACGACAAGATCTTGGCTTGCAAATGTGATGGGATCAGTGAATGTAATACATTCATTCACTGATCTCATCACGTTTCATGTAGCATGTAAGGAGAGGCACTAAGTTACAAGCTCACTGGCCTTAGAGTCAGGCTCAAGGAAAGCTTTTAGCTGTGGATTTGTGTAGCGGCGTAACAAATCCGTTATTATTTACACAGACTCCAGCTATGAGTTTGGTGTCGTTTACTTATGTGAAACATCACAAATTTCTAAAATCTGATGGTAAACCTACGAAAAAACCGTCCAGCCATGGACCATGGTGCTGACATACATGAGGATGAGGAGAAGAGCGCGCTATAACCTAAGCCCATTTGAAATCCTCCTTCCAGCACCACCACATGTCGGCATCAAGCAGCCTACACATGCATTACCTTCTTCCTTTCTCTGTGAAAATGACATGCTGAAATACTGTCTTAACCTGTCCTCCACCCTCTCCAATGTCAGAAAGCAGGTTGCATCTGCACTCCCATGCCCAGCCACGGGTCCCCTCCACTCGCCGCAGCCAAGTCCTACGATGTGGCCAAGGACTTCCGGAGGAAGAACTGACGAGCTAAACGGTGTCCTGACAACCCACCCTCAAGATAGCTGAGAGAGCCACGTGGATCCACGCCAGCCACTGTAAAAAGGTCCCTGATCCCACTGACCCGCCCGACACCACTCCACCACAGGCCCAGCCTTCTGCTGGGTGAAGTGCTAGCAACCTCTCCCCTAATTGGTCATAGACAAACCAGCTGGACGAACACAATACCCAGCCAGAAGAAGCAGCCATCATTGAACGACCACGCCCCTGGCATCCAGGTGCGTGTGGCCTCCGCGGCACCACACTCGCCCTCTTCCTCATCACTGGAGTAGTCACCTCCTCTATTCTGTTGCTCGAAGTCCAATCCAAGAAACTAAAGCCCCCTCCAATCACCACCAACCAAAGTCTGGCCATGTCTGCAGAAACAGCATTGCTCATTTCTCACATGCCATTGTTATGACGATGTATTTTAAACTGCTTGTCCCAGGGTAATATTATCTGATGTAGAATAATGGTCATGTACGTTTCCATTGTTTTGTTGTGATTATTTTGATGTGTATTTTCAAATGTAGTAATTTTGTACTTGCGATGAACATAATCAAAATTAGGGAAAAGTAATGAAAAATACATTATGTGGATATGCTAAAATAACATTACTGTAAAACTGTCTGTTTGCTGTAGAACACTGTTCCAATCGCAACTAGCCTACACATATCCTGGTTTTACATGAAACATCTGGATGAATTTCTGCTTTTACATGAAACCCCTGCATGAACTTCTGCTTTTGTACAAAATCTGCGAACGCCCTGTCTTGTTTTTATAAGAATACAGTAACTGTATCAACTATGTTTAGCGCTAGTTTTTCTGTCTCCACCCTTCCCTTTTGACAAGTGTGCCTTTTGCCCCTTTGAGCTTCTGGCAGACTGTACCTTGTCACATTCTGTGTATTTGCTCCTTCTTGCAAGAATAAAAAAGCTCTCGAGGACAGTTCATTGCAATTCAGATCTTTATTCAACAACTCACAAATATTTCCACAACGTGTGTCAAAGTGGCTTCAAAATAATCATCTCACCTTAAACTATGATAAAACTTTCTCAATGTGTTTCTTCATAAAAAGAAAATTAATGATAATTTTAGAATAGAGATTGATAAACATATACCACTAAAAGCAGCACAGCAGTATATGCATGCCATGATTTTTTCCTCACTTATCATACTGTATAACTGTTTGGGGCCAGGACAACCAAACAACAATTACGACAATCAGGTCATTATATAAACATACACTGAAAGAAATGGATCAGAAATCAGATGGCACCATCACCTCATTCTAAAGACACACAACATACTGACTTATTGGATGGATGGGCTTTGAGCCACTGTTGTCAGTGTTAATAGAAATTTCTTTAAGACTCACTGACTGAGCATGGTTTATTCATAGAGCACCAAAGCAGGTTTAATAAAAAAAAGACAGAAGATACTTGTGCCGTAATAAAAAGGATAAGTGCTCATTGACCCCCCCACCCCCACCCCCACAAACACACACACACACACACACACACACACACACACACACACACACACACACACACACACACACACACACACACACACACACACACACACACACACACACACACACACACACACATTCATTCCAATGCTTTTCCCAGCTGATAAGTAAAACAACCCACAACATGGCCCTTATGGCCACCATAACCCAACCATGAAACTAAAGGGGGAGTGAGAGCCAGCAAATCAGTCAGGTTATCTAATAGGAAACTCCCACCCAGCGGTGTTTCATCAAGTTAGACCAACAACACCTCTGAAAGACTTGGCAGTAAGCTCCAGCGTCCCAGAGCCACCCTCCTTAATGCTTTTAAGGATGCTACTTTTTTCCTGTGGAACAATGTGTTTTCAAATCCACCTGCATCTCCCAATCACCAGCACCCTTTAGATAGCCTGACTCCTGCCTACCTCCCTTCCCTTACCCTTACCAAACCTTACAGCCTGACACTGTTTCTGTTTCTCTGTTTCTGCAGTGTGCTGTACCTACCTGGTGGCAGCGGTTACAGGTACTAAGATTTACTTTAAAGAAAAAGTATAATTTGTCTGTGATGGTCTGGTTTCCTTTTGTAGGTATTGAAGAGGCTTCAATGTTATTTCAGTCTGTTCAATAACCTTCTGAATGTTAACCTTCATTGTTCAGTGGTGAAAACTGTAAAAGGGTTTAAGACTGAGTTTGTTCTGACAAATTGAACAAAAATATGGTTTAATCCTTGATAAAGATACTAGGTCCCGACCGATACAGGATTTTTGGGGCCGATACTGATATCATTATTTGGGAGGGGAAAAATCTGATACCGATATATCGGCCGATATCTTCCTTAGATCTATTTTCAATCTGTAGAGACAGATCAAAATATAGAGAAAAACATGTATGTTGATCCCTCAAATGCAGATGCAACCCAAATACACTTGTGGAAAAGATAGACCAGGTAGACAAGATGGTCACTGAACTGGAAAGTAACTGAGCATGAACGTGTATCATCACTTGACTCTCAGGAGAGTGATCATGCTTGTTATAATCCATATAGCGCCCTCCACTGGTGAAAGAGAACTGCTCGTGAATGAATCTAGTAATATCGGCGCATATCTACAATAAAATTAGCCGACACCGATAGTCACTGGATATGTTAAAATCGGCCGATATTATTGGCTGGCCGATTTATCAGTCAGGCTCTAGAAGATACTGATGTTATGCTATTAGCTGAGATCAACTTTTAAAACCCTGATAAACAAGATGGTGAATACTGAAGTGAAGTAATTCTAGAGCAAGCAAGAAAAACAAAACACCTCAAATTAGTTATTTAAAAAAATCTTATTTGAAAGGGAATTCAAATAAACAAACTCAGTTTCTCGAGAATTTTACTTGAACTCCCCTTCGCATACAATTCTTGAGAAACTGAGTTTGTTAAAAAAGGAAGCTCAGAGAAAAAAGGAACCAAGACCATTTATATCCATATAAAAGGTTAGGTGATGTCTAACCGGAGTTGCTTCACGGCCCTTTGAGCGATGATTAAGTTGTTGCTTGCATTATTGTTGGACGTGGCGACCACTGTCGATGGACGAAAAGTTGAGAGCTACTTAAAATGAACATGAACGGCTGGGCAGGAATTAACCCTGACTGCTCCAAACCCTGAACCCGACTGGGGAACGTTGGTCACTTTTTTTGTCAATAAAAATTCCATGGGATATGTGGGGAAAAAAAAATCAACATATTGTATTTCTCTAATATTTAATCTATCTACATAAAATACCTCTTCATGCACAGATGGGCAGGATTTGTAAAGGTTAAGTCTGACATATTCAACAATCAGTGTAATCTTTTTTTAAAGTGTTTATTTATAACACCTGCAAACTTGCATAATAGGTTACAGTTTTCACCTAACTTGGAAAATCTGTCATTAGTTTAATAATCTACTTTCAAACAACATTGGTTCAAGACAAATGTAATTTAAAACATGCTGAAAGAACATACAAAATAGTATGAAATAATAAATTCACACCATATCTGCACTAAAAATGACCACAGCAGTGAAGAAGAGTTTGGTAACATGTTTTTTTAATACATTTTATTATTTCTTTGTTATTGTTGATTTGTTACACAATCATTACAAAGGACAGAAGAATCAGAGCAGACTGTGTGTGAGTGTGAAAAGTTTGATTATAAAAGGTTAAACCAGTTTTTAAAATAGTTTCATGTCTTGTGCATAAGAGAAACGTCTTCATGATATGACATTATGGGATGTGTTGGTGTAACCAGCTCACTTAGTTGACTTGTCCCCTAAAGATTAGGAAAGAGATATAACAAAAAACATGCTTGTTATTTCCACACAGTTTATTGTGTTGGGACATCAGCCCTCAGACTAAATCATATTTTTACTTACAAGCAATTGGTCCAATGGTGACGCAGTCCATAGCAACAGAGCTGGAAACAGAGCGATATTTCCTCCTTTGACAGGACTTCATGGTGGAGAGGATACAGAAAGAGCAGATATTGTCACTGTCCATTTTTGTAAGCAGCAGTGATTATGGGTGAACAACTATGACGGTCACTGCCTTAGTGAGGCTATTACTAATTGATTCTGTCCCCCTAGTTCTTGAGGAGTTGGATGGTCCAATCTAGAGCACCTGGGCCTGTTGCTTGCAGGGCATAAAAGCCCGACCCCAGGGTGGATCTTCTCTCTCTCTCTCGCCTAACAATGACATTCATCCCATGTTTGTTTGTGCTATAGTTGTGGGTGCATTGTTCCAATACATCATTGTTACCTCAATTTAAGTTGTTCTTTATCATATTTGTCATGGCCATAGAGCCAGGTTATGACACAACTCACTGATGAAGTGAACTGTTTGACTTACTGGGACACAGTGAAATCTCTCTCGGTCACACAGGCTTATGTTGCAGTGAAGATAAATGGCTCTATAATCGTCCTCCAGCAGAAAGAGCAGGGCAGAGAAACGAGCACACAAAGACATGCCGCTCTCAATCACAGACACCTGTCGGGCATCGGTCGAACACCTGGCAGCGAGAACGAAAAGAGCTCACCAAGTCCATAAAGCATATTACACTACATCTCACTTTTCTCCATTTCAGTTTAACTCCACAAACAATGTTCTGAGTCTAAAGAGAAGAGGGACACTCACTTGTTCTGGATGAGAGAGTATCGCTGGTAATAGTGAGGATCGGATGAGTGAGAGGCGTAACATTCCTCCAGAACAACAACAAATCTGAGCTCTCTTTCTGTTACAGAGACACCCACATACAAAGGTGAACCCAGTGGCAGGTTGACCCCTCCAGCTGGGAAAGTCTCAGTGAAGGCGGAGTTACGGAAAAGAGACATGACGGCACAGGGTTCGGCACCAGAACCAGATCCTAAAATGTCCCATGACGACCTATAAAGAAAGTAAGTTTGAATTGATTTGCAATTAAACATCTTTATCTCGTACAATTGTAATTATTTCAGAATACCATGGATATTTCTTTGTGGTTTAAGTCGTAGTAAACAGACAACAGGCAGTGAAATAGCTGACTGTCCAAAAAAAACAGCGTTTGGACCTCACTCAAACACTACAACACTGCTTTCATTCACTGTGGTACCATCAGATTCTTGGTTAAATATTGCTATGGCAATTTACACTTTGAATTAGATTTTTTTTTAAATGATATCACTGATCAAACCAGCACAAGTGTGTTTTTATTCATCAAGCCAGGATTTGTTAGTTGCTGAGGTCTTGAGAGCAAAATTACATTATGTAAAAGCTGATTCCAAATTCACAAACTAGGCTACAAGCTAAAAAAAAGAAAATCTGTTGCAGTAGCCATGTTTTAACCTGTAGAGGGCAGTCACTATACACATTTTTAACACAATATTTTGAATTTCAATACTTTGTACTCAAATGTCGAGACTTGGACCTGAATTGATCCACAACGGTAATTAATACTCCTATTTAAAAATGATGAAAAAATATTTTTAAAAAATTATGAAAAATATACAAATTCTTGTTGTATCACAGTAACAATATGAATCGTTTTCCTTGCTTTATCTTTTTTTTTTAAATGGCAAATGTAGTGTACATTTTGTCACTAACTGACAACCTCCTTTTTTTGATATGCCAAAGGTGTAATGGGGCCCCCTGGTGGATTATCTATGTGCTGTATGTAACTAAAGGAACTCACTGAGGACATGTGTATCAAAAATGATTCACCTGGTTATATAGTTAATATCAACATTAGATCTCAGAAGTATTATCAGGTATTAGTTAAACAGTTCACATGACATATTGACTAGTGCATAGTTAGTAACAATCAATAAGAGGGAGGCTACTTACGGCAGGAATGGTCTGATAGCCACATTCAGGCTGGTGTCTGTTTCCAGGGGATACGCACAGGAGAAGGGGATGCTCACAGGAAGGTTAAAGGACCCCTTGATAACAGGGTAGACAAATAGACTGTTGGAGTAGATCGCATGTGTGCGGTTGGTCTGAAAAACAGGGGTTGATTGAATTAACGGAAAGTACATAGACATGCAAACTTTAGTTGAAGTGCTGTGAGCAGCTGCATTAAAAGCATTACCAAAGAGAGGGAGAAAAAACTTCCCCTACAGGGGGGAGAAGCTATATTTAAAATGTTTTAAGATAATGAATAATGAGTCCCTTTGCACCTTAAATTTAGTCTCAGACCAACCAAAAGCTATAAGGTTTAACTTGGAGTACAGTAAAAGAAGAGGGACAATAGGATAAATATTTTAAAGAGGTCAAGATTTTAACATTTTTTCCATTAACTGCATGTTTAAAATCAATTTGAAGAAAAATAACAAAAGAAAATGTTGAAATTAATTTCCAAAGGAAAAGCTAAGAACATGGGCGGTTCTAGGCAGGGGCCAACAGGGGCCAGTGCCCCTGTAACACTGAGCTTGGTCCCCCCTGTGTCCACCCCTCAAAAAGGAAGAACCCCCCTAGTATTTGACTCAAAAACTGGACTCACAATCTAGTATTAAATACTGTTATTGAAACAAACATAAATCATGCTATTTAATGTTGTGGTATTTAATGATGTGTGCTATTATTTGGCATAATATATATATATTTCTTTTTAAATGATCATCTTTGTCTGTTTTTCACCTGGCCCCAGTTTGGCCCCCTCAGTAAAAGTGGTCTAGAACCACCACTGGCTAAGAAATAAAACAAGTCTGTACCGTCACACAAATCACAAACTCTGTAAACTGTCGCTTCACTATGAATATATTTTTAAAATTATTGAGAAAATACTATTAGTACAGATATTGTAGTTTAATATGAGTAACAAAAAATGGCAATTATTTCAACAAGAGTAAACATTAACCTTCACAGATGACACTGGCATCTTCAAAGTGATTACAGTTGTGGACCCCAAGCCCTGGATGTCTGCACTCTGTTATTGATATTTCGTTGCCAGAACAACCAACATCATCCAACCAGATGGGTCCACTGCCCTGTCCAAAAGCTGCATTTAGTAATGCTGAACGAGGAGGGCCACAGTCCAGCTGTCTACACACCACGTTAGCATCACTGAGGTCCCAGGCATCGTCACACACTGTCCCCCACAGACCATCATGGTAGACCTCCACTCTGCCAGAGCAGCGGTTATTAGAGTTGACCAGCCTGACTGGTGCAGCAGCTGACGGAAAACATGAGACATTATGTTGATGATGAGAGACACAAGAAAGAATGACTTTAAATACAATAAAAAAACAGCAACAACTTATGTGTTTTAGTAGTGTAAAGATCATGTTTTATATTTCTCCAACCTATTACTGACAACTAAAATCATCATTGACCTCTCAAAGACAAGTTATATAATTAAAAAAAAAACATACTATAGATATATCTTTTAAAATGACAAATACTATTTAAGGTTGAAGGTTTTCTCCTCAATACCGGTATTGGATTAAAAATCCCATATCAGCCGACCCTACTTTTGACAGATCATAAGAATTATATTTACTTCACAGACGACACCAGCGTCTTCATTGTGTCCACAGTTGTGTGATCCAAACCCTCTGTGCCTGCACTCTCCAAGCTTTGATTCGCTGCCTGTGCAAGAGACATCATCCATCCAGATGGGTCCACTGCCCTGTCCAAAATAGGCAACTGATGGTGCTGACAGAGCCCTGCCACAGCCCATCTGTCTGCACACCACCTGAGCATCAGCCAGGCCCCATTGATCATCACACACCGTCCCCCACTGTCCACGGTGGAAGATCTCTACTCTGCCAGAGCAGGACTGGTTCCCTCTGTTAACCAGACGGACCTCACCCTCAACTGCTGAGCTGTTGTCGGGTGTTGTGGTGGAGGTGATATTGACCTGACTGGCAGAAGAGGTCGCTGTACTTGGATCAAGTGTGGTTGAAGGATTTTCAGGAGTTGCTCCGTTCACCTCTGGTTACAATGAAAACAAGTAGATACCGTTTCTTAACTAAAGGAACATTTCTAATCAGATTCAAGAACAACAGTGACAATAGAGTCATTCTTTAAATAACTGAATTAGATGAAAAATGTAAATATGTGGTTACAGAGTTAATGTTACAAATGGAACAATACCTGCACAGTATGCAAGGTGACAGTTGCTTGGCCGTACAAGTTTGTAGATGAAGTAGTTTCCATAGCAGAGCTTGACATGGATGGTGTGTGAGGAGAAACGACAGCACCTTCCTGACCATGAGCCACACACAGTGCGGCTCACAATCTGACCTGACTGTGTGGGATGAGGAGTTGTTATCCACAGAGGAGCATGGGTTCCACACCTTCTTTCAGCCACACACTTCTCTGGAATATGAGCACTGGTTTGGCCCAGAAACAGCCGATACCAGCCTTGCCAGTCAACATGTTGGTCACAGTGTAGGTTCTGGGTGGACGTGTTATTTGTTGATCGCCAGTCATCATTCAGCACAGTGTACTCCTGGCAGGGGTCAGCACACTGGAGAGTCCCATTCATTCTGACACAGTCTGTGCCTGAAGGACACACAGTGGATCCACAGCTGAACTGGACAGACTGGGAGGAGGGACCTGATCTGGAGCTGGGGGAAGGCTCCAAGCATACGAAAGAGCCTGGAGTGTTTGTGCAAACCTGAGATGGTTTGCATGGGGAGTCTGTAAGAGAGCACTCGTCCGTGTCCACACAGCCCCTGTCTGGTGACCACTGATAACCTTCTTTACAGCAAGAAGAGTCACTACAGAGTTTTATATTGTAACACATGAGGCCATCACCTACAAAACCATCGTTACAGACACAAGAGAGCGTCTGGCTTGAGAAAGTGTCGCCTCTTTCTTTAGACTCGTGGCAGGCGGCTTCATCGTGACATGAATCACAGCTGGAGACAAGTGTTCCTGTGCAGAGGACAACAATCGTAAAATAAAAACTTTTCAATTTAAAAAGTAACTCTATTACATGAGAGTGACGTAAATTACATTCACTTTTTTTTAGAACAACTTGTTTTTTCTGCTTGAATATTACAGAATAGTGCACATCTGAAAAACATACAAATGTGATACTGATATCCTTAGAATATAATTGAAATTATGTGCAAGACAAGACTACTACTACTGTTGGTGCTGAAAAATTACTTCTTAACTTTTAGTATTTAACTAATGTAAGAATGACAGCTTCAAATTATCACTGGGGTGATAAAATGCAACTAACAGAAACAAATAGGAGAAAAGATTCATGATAAAACGAAATCAAACTGTTTACCTGATGTTCTTACAGTAAAAAACTGTAAAAGCAGGAGTAATAACACACTCCTAGGCACCGCCATTATTGCCCACATCCACGATATCAACTTTCTGAAAAAGAAAAAAAGACACGTCTTCAACCACATTTTCAATGCAATGCAAACAATTCAATACTTTACCCGTCTTTGTGCTAACCTTGGAGCTACTGCCGAGTCTAGGACTGGAATAGTTGAAGCTTCAGATCTTTCAGTGAGTGTCAGAATTTATACGCCTGTTTGTGTGTCCAAAGACAATGCGAAGCATTCATTGGTGAACCACATAAATGGGTCATTGAAAGCACTGATACATCAAGTGTGACATCAAGAGTTACTTATTAATTTAAATAAGACAAATGGATAAAATTCAATCAGTTCTGGCATGCAAACAAAGTCCTGAGTCAATATACTTTATGGTGCCACAATCAATCTCAGGTCAGTGTTGAAACATAATGGAGACCTCTCGTTCTTCACTAGTTTGCACATCACTCTATCCTCCGACTAGCCCTTTTGAACCACCTTTAGTAAACATCTGGGACTAAAATGCCAGAGGACAATGGGTTTTTGAGCATAAAGGTAACCATGAAAAGGTACTTTGATCAACCAGTCCAGTGGTCCCCATTCCGTTTTCCTTGGAGCCCCCTCCTGTTGTAGAAGACATATTACTGTCAAAAATTAACATAATTAATAGTTTTTAATGATAAAATCCCAACAGAATATTTCCAAACAAACTTTTAAAGATTTACTACAACCTGTGTACATAGGGTGTGCGAATTAACCACTAGACCACAGGCGCTCGAGGCCTACTGTACACACACACGTTCATACCAAAAGAACTTTGTTCTCATTTTGACGATTTCCATTTAATCCAATCCAATCAGCACTTGCTACATGAATGCATCAAACTGGATATCTCATGGAAGCAGTTTGGACTACATATTGTGCATTTAGGACCCGATCTTAAGTTTCATAATATTTAAAGGGTCTGGTATTTCTCTGAAATCTAGAGCGACAATTATTCAGTGCAGGGAAAAAAACAAAGATAACAGTGTGCTAGAGTGGATGACCTATTTTGTATTAATGTATAATTTCTTATAATCATTTAGTGAGATTATTTTGTGCCTTCCCATAATTTTTCCCCATCATATCTCCAACATAAATGTTTTATTATGCCCAAGTAAATGGTCGACTCAGGACTTTGTTCCATTATCAAATTAATATCCTAATATCCTTTATACAACAGCTTCTGCTCTGGATGCGTTGGAGTAAATTGGCTCAAACTATTTTACTGATAAGACTTCCATTAAGCAAAACCAATAGTAAAGCACAGTGAGATTAACAGATAATATTTGGACACTGAGGGTGTTTTGATCGTCATAAATAAATGTTATTGTGTGGCACACAATCTTGATAGCAAAGTCGACCCCATTTAAACTACACGCAGATGAAAGAGAAGTAATGGTACTTCCAGAAATATTTTATTTTCTGTGGGTTTTAACTCTCTGAAATCTGAGTTGTTAATTTTAAAGTATGACTTGATAACAGGAACATTGAAATTCTGCTTAAAAAACAGCTAACAATATAAAGATATTGTTGAACAAGATCAAGTTTGAAAGAAAAACAACCTTAGTTGATGTTAAAAAAAGAATTTAGATTTCACATTTGGAGCCAATCTCCCTCATCAAGTGGATGTGCTGTGTCAAAGTTTCATCTGACTTCATGGAGAGTTTTGACAACATAAACAAGTGACAGCAATGATAGAGGATTGCATGCCACTGTAAGCATATTTGTACAGATGGAAATGCCATATATTCTATGATAATTCAATGGATTGGAATTCATTCAAATTTTGATAGTGTAAGAGGAAAAATCTGCGGGTCACCAAAGTGATTTTATTTTCCCATCAATACCTTGCAGTACAAATGAACCCAATCCCCTTGTTCCACTCCGGTCCAATTGGAAGCAGTAACCTAAAGATGGTTTGAAAAATGTTAATAAGCTTTAGAAGAGGGAAAAGTTTGGTATGATATGTAGGAGGTCAGGTTTGAACTCTACGGTCTGTGTACATGTGGTGTAGGAACTAACCAATAGACAATTGGTTCTCATCTGGTGGAGCCTCAGGACCCGCCACCAACTCCTCCGTTTCAAATTTGCTCAGCTTGTGATGACACATGCTGGATTCTGTTAAAAAAAAAATCCCTCCCCTCCCCTGATATCTCCACCCATAGACTCTCCCCCAGCCGAGAACAAAACGTTTGTGCAGGTCTGCCATTTTAAGTCTTGCTACAGAGGAGTGATGTTTACGGGGAAAACTCAGCAGTGTTTCATCAAGTTTGACCCACGACACCTCTGGAAGACTTGGCAGTAAGCTCCGGCGTCCCAGAGCCACCCTCCTTAATGCAAGCTCTCAGCATCCATTATACCCAGCTGAAGAACTTCTCTGAGCTATTGCGTCCTTCTGTAAAAAGGCCAAGCAAACAAACAAACAAAAAATGAAACTATTCCTGGTGCTAACATTACACAAGAGAAAAACAAGAGTTGAGTCTGTAGAGAGTTTGTAGAAACAGGATAAACTATCCTCTGACTCACAGACCATAATACTATGTCAGGCCTCAGGCTAGTGAAACTATTTCCTGTGGAACAATGTGTTTTCAAATCCACCTGCATCTCCCAATCACCAGCACCCTTTAGATAGCCTGACTCCTGCCTACCTCCCTTACATTTCTCTCCCTCATGGACAAATTCAATGGCTGCACTATTTGTACCAATACATCAGGATTTCACCTGCCCCCTTCTACTTAATGTACCATATACTGTACATGTTGCCATGTACAGTATATGGACCTTACAACAGACCAAACTTACAGCTTAGATAGAAGAAAAAGGACATTTCTGCAGTGTGCTGTACCTACTAGGTGGCAGCGGTTACAGGTGCTAAGATTGACTTATTAGTCAAATTAGTCTGTGATGGTCTGGTTTCCTTTTGTAGGTATTGAAGAGGCTTCAATGTTAATTTCAGCAAAAGTTGAACAATGATACGGATTA